GCCGAGACGGGGATTAAGGGAGTCTTTTTTTTTTAATGGTTGGATCCATGGTGAGAGCCTCCCCTTTTTTGAAAATTCAAGAGACAAGAGCCCAAGACATAAGTGGAAGATTTGGAAGATCCTGTGGGTTCAATAAGATTCGTGATGTGCTGCTCAAAATCTTGTGACAGCGATCCAGGTTAGAGTAAAGCAGCACGAAAGGAAATCCATGACGAAAAACGACTTCAGTTGTTGGGACGACAACTCGAGAGAGATAGGGGAAGTTGCAACTGCGCCTTCTTGTCCCGTATTAGGATGCTTTGTCAGCTGAACGACGAGGTAAAGTTGATTAAAATAGCGAAACGAAGATCGATCGAAAGAATTTCATTGAATTGGAAACTGTTTTTGACAGATTGTACCGATTGCAAATAAAGTTCCTTTTATAGAAACGGTATTTATTCATTGCGTGAGTATCACGAAAGCGTATCTTCGGGAAAGTTACAATTCACTCGGCGGACACAACAATACTTATTGTAAATGTGATTTTTTGACTAATAATGTTAGTTTTTTTATATCACTTTTGCAATGTAGCACGTTCTCTTATGAGGGCACAGGCATGACTTCTATTCGTCCTTGCAATAAAACAAACAACTGGATATTGGTATTCTTGTACACGATCTCAACATTACCAAGTTTATTTAGGAGACGCTAAATACAAACCCCGTATCTATTCGTTTTTTTCACAATTAAAAAGTTAACATGCCGTAAAAAACTCCGCGTTACTGATGGAGGGTTAAAAAGCTGTCATTCTACTTATTTGCTATTATTGCATTTCTAGTTGGACCATCATCAGGGAGTAAACTGTCATCATCGTCTCCTCCAGCAGTACATGATAATGGTGGACATCAAACAACTATCAACAACTCTTTGCAATGGCCGAGTCCTCACACTGTACATGACATTCTGGCTAATAGTTGTAATGTACAGAACTCGTCGTCTTCTTCATCAACTTCGTCATTATGCTCCACGATTAATAATAATCATCATCACAACCATCGTGATGACAATTGTGTTAACAATGATATTAACAGTAATAATGAAAATAATAATGATCATAGAATATCGGGCGGTTATCTTCACCACCATCCTCACCTAGCACATCATCAACAGTATTACGCATCAGCGCTGTATCATCATCATCATCATCATCGTACAGATGCTGTGACGGCAGCCACCATATCATCTACACTTTCTGTGCAAGCTATTATGTTACAGTCAGGAACAACAAACCATCCAACCAGCCCTTGCAATTAGATAAAATAATATTATTTTATGAATTAAAAATGATCAAATAATTAACGTTTTCATTTTCTGTATGTTATTAAGTTTTTCAAATATACTTTTACGTTTTACAGTACTAAAAAAACTTTTGTATTAAAATATATTTTAAATAAAAATGATAAATGATATAGGGTCATTATGGGTAACAGAGGAATGACATTTCAATATATTTGAAGAACGAACTTTGAAATTATTTTTATCAAACACATAAAAAATAATTATGTTTCTTTATATAAAAAAGAAATTTCTCCATAGATCTGTAAAAACAATAAATGTATAAAATATTTGTTTAAGGACAAAGCTATCAAAAACTTAGATTGTGGAAGTTTATGCTTATGCTTAAATATTATTCCTTAATAATAATTTCATTATTAAGTTTTCTATCACGTTTAGAAATTGTAAGTAATTTATTAATAATAATCTGCAACAAGTTACATCAATTTTCCATTTTTTAATTTTACATGAGAATTACAAATATCCTGTAGTAAATTTATTATGCAGGGTATGATAAGACTGCTCAAAGATATGCACCGCTTAAGAGCATGCAATTTTATGGCGCATTTATTAGATTTCAACAACTGTAACTCACACAGAATGTGCCTATAGTTAGTTATCCTGTGTCTAAAAGATAGTTAATATTGTTGCAATAATAAAGAAGATACATTAAATTTTATAATTTTTATCATTTTGTTATTGTACTTATCACGAATAAATTGATCAGGTTTTACATAAAATTGTTGCCTTATGAATCTGTACCATCTACCATATATTGTGTGCATGGTCGGATTAAGATTTCTATCCTTCTTGGGCACTTAAATCGTTGCCGTCCCTGTTCAATTCTCAAACTGGGATATCTCAAATGTGTTTGCGACGACAACAAAAATAAGGGATTTTTTGTAAGGATTTTGCTATTTCAGCTTTATTACAATAATGTTTTCATAATACACTTAGAAGTTGCAAAATTATATACATTTTGTTTACTACAATAGAACTTTACGCGCTTTTTTGATAGCAAACTTATTTGCCGCAAACCTACTAATTACATTCTATGTATATGTCGATGAGGTAGCATGATCCCTCTCGAATTTTCTCTGGTAAAACGAAATCGACACAAAAATCGCAAAACCTCGACTTGAATATAGTGATCGTTGATCCAAAAATAATTTTCTCAATCATTTGCGTCTGGTAAAAATGACTATTTTTTAAAAATTAAAAAAAAAAAAATGCTGCCCCACTAAACTTGTCGTCTCTATTATAGGCACAGCCTATAAGTTAGCCTCACCAATCTAGCCCTGATAGTGTACACGTCTCTGCTTCATATTTAGTGAATTCGGTTGATGGAACTAATGCGCACTGGTGCATATTAAAGCTTTTGAACAATAATTTGTTGATTGTAAAAGCAAAATACCAGTATTTCGAATTATAAAATACTTTTGTTCTATTTAGTAGCACAAATATACCTGTTTTTATATTAATATATTAAACACATATTTTTACGTCAATTTGTGTAACGACTTTAATGTGCACCAGTGCGTCCAATCGAATTATTAGTAAAATATTTATTTAATGTATCATTTTATCTTTGTTTAACACTCTGCGAACAACAAGGCTAAAATGATATTTCATGTGCATTATGCGTGCAATGGAACGCAGCCTTAATATTTGTAATATGATTATATTAAATACGATATTAAAAGTAAAAACGACGTGACCTAAAAGTACTGACTTGAAAACTTGATTTGACTCGATCCATGGAAAACGGTGATAATATAGATGATGATAACGATGACAGTTAAAATATTTTGTAATGATTTGTATTTGAATTCTGAATCCGGTAAAAATTGGATCTAATGCTAAAGCTGCTGGTTCTAGACTTATATCAATTGCGCTGTAATTGACCATTGGCCGAAAAGAACTTACCTATGTAAATTCTGCATGTAAAAAATACTTTAGGCATACATTACGATGATTTATATTCAATCAAAAAAAAGTATCTACCTATCTTTTTACTTTAATTAACATTGTTCTCCTACAATAAGCGATATTTTTTAAATAATGCGTACTCTTGAAAACGCTCCCATTTGGAAAGGGACTATTAGGAACTTTTCAGATTTCTATAGTTTTACTATTAAAATTCTATAGTTATTTGAATAATTATTGACAACTACGTGCGTGAATAGTAATTCAATAATGACTACGATTATACGACAAATAGTTTGAAAAGTAACTATTCGCGACTATGTAACTGAACAGTAATTGAATAGTAACTACGTATATAATTGGTGAATAATATTATAATGACATGATAATAATATTGTAAATTCGAACATGACATTTTTCATGTTCGTATTCAAAATATTTCACACAGACAATATATACGCACACTCACGAGAGTATACATATATCTCCAAATTATAGCATTTACTTATTAATGATCGAATTGAAATTGCGACTCAGTGAGAATTGACAATGGGTGCATCCAGAAGCGCAGAGCGCTTATTGAGCTCTTGCATCTGATTGGTATATTCCATTAGAGCTAAAAATATAGACCAAACAGATACAAGAGCTCACTGAGCGCTCAATGAGCAGTCGTGCTTCTGGATACACCCAATGGAATCGATGTCGAACCGATGTCGATTCGACATTGAAATCATCGAATCGACTTCAAATCAACGTCGATTCAACGTCGATTCCATTGTCATTTCTCACTGGGGATTTATATATTTATATTTAATTATAAAAATTTTGAATGTTACATCCAAAGCTCGAGAATATTTTCAGATTAAATTGGAGCGACAAAGGATGAAAAGAGGTTGGGATATGGAAAGATGTTACGAGTAAATAAACTCTCTCTCACAGGTACACAATTAGAGTAGTTACTAGATATCAGAGATGCGAGCAGGTTAGGCTGGGTTACCGCCGCCATTTTTTTTCAGAGGATACTATTATTGGCGTAGTATCTCATCACCACATGCTACAATAATTTATGCGTGTGAACTCATTGTGAAAAAAAATGGTGTCGTAATCACGTATTGACTAAATCACGTGTTTTAGACAGCTAATCAAACTTATCCCCTCAATATGTTGCATCTCTGTTATCTAAGACTCTACACACAATCACACACAGAGGCGAAAGCTGTAAATCGAACGCATTTTTTGTTGCTCCGGAATATGTGTCTATGTCCTGAGAAGGACACTACGCCTTTTCCTACAAACAGTGCGATCATCGGTCCTAATTTTCAAGAAACTTAATCCTTATAACTCGGGATCGAACTACATGTGATATCTAGAAAGTTAGGGGGAATGTGTATGTACGAGATCTTTAAATTTTATATGAAAAGTGACAGGTTTATGTCGACTAATATCCAAAATTTATTATTAAACAACTATTATTACAATAATATATGAATTCAGCCGAACGCAGCCCAGATGGTCTTTAAATGCCTCACCCTGTGTACATTTAGTTAAATGTCGGCATTCGTCAACGTCGTGTCGTTAAGTAAATATATAATAATATCTCGCGAAGTGATTGCAGCGTGTTGCACTCTTTGCAACAGAAATTTGACAGTAGCGACATGTGACGCTCGTTGGCGTCATTTTTGGTATAGGCATGTCACACCTTATAGTTTCTACGGAGGTGGAACTTCATCGTTCTTCGGTGCCTGATTAGCTCGTTCTCGAGCCAGAGCCTTGGAAGGTGGTGGATGCCATCTTGTTGGATGTAAAGGAGCGGGGCCGCTTAGTTGTGAAAGTTTCTCCTTCCGATCGGAGCTTAATACCTCCTCCTTCTCGCCAATGAGGTAAGTACTACTTAAATATCATTATAATGCTTATTTGTAGGTTTTAATTAGAGATGCACTGGATATTCGACTACTATCTGGTTTTCGGATATATATACATATATGCGGCCGAAATTTTATATTGAAATGACGTGCATCGTGACATGCAGACGTGTTGTGAATACCCTGAAAATTTTTATTATCACTGATATATTGTTTAGAAATATGGTATTCGGCCGAATACCGGATATCTGGCAAATATCATTTCAAAATAAAATCGTTATTTTATTCAGGGCTAAGGTTCTGTGTGACCTTTCTAAAGCGCCATTGCTCTCCGAGTGGTAAGCAGTAGATTGTATTTTATTAATTTTTGACAATTTGCTTATATCTTTAAATAATTTGCGTAGAAAATTTGTACGTTGTTCCATCAATACAGTTTCTGGAATTTTATATTCATAGACAATTTCGGTGACGAATTTTTTAGTTGCGATGGCTATCTCCTGCCCTTGTATTCTGTAATTCGTTACGTGCTCATTATGCTTATAACGACAAATCGTTATACAATCATTATGTACTCAAAGTGACAATTCTCGATCTTAACGACAGTTGCGCAAATATTTTCGATAGTAAAAAACGCAACTATCTGCGTATTGTCGTTATGAACACATAACGAGTTACAAAGTACAGAGGCTGCTTAGGTATCGGAATGACTTTGCTGAATTTCGAGAGATCATTTTGAAACATGAGCAGGTATTTATTCTCGTTTGAAGTTACGCTGAGTAGTCTCACAATATTCAATTCACATTTTTTAAACGGTCTACTAGATGTATCTGTTAAAATTAATGGCATCTTTGTCTTTTAGTTTATTTCTTAAGGCTTATTTCTTTGATATGATTCGCACTTCGCTATATATTCTTTAACGTCTCTATTTGTATTAGACTAGTTATATGTTGCCATTTAAGGGATAGCGAGAAGATGATTAATCATATTGTAAATAGTATTTACGTAAACAGATTTACGTGTCATTGACACATCAATATCTCACTCATGTATGTTATACATACACATAAATTTTCGGATAACAATTACGTTGGACGGATTTCTTACGAAAAATCCAAAAAATTCGTCTGCATCTTGAAGATATATTGATGAGTTTCAATATAGAGTCACTTTTAACAAACGTTCCGATAAAAG